TGCTGCGCGCCCACCCCGCACCCTTCGTGGACGTCTCGGCAGGGCGGCCTTGCCCGGCCCTTTGCGGGCCAGAGGAGGCCGAAGTCATCAGGGGCCATCTTGCCGCCCTCCTGGCCCACTTAAAGGCTGCTGAGGCCACCAGCGCCGGCCCCGTGTCCTCCAGCGAGGTTGTCCCCACGGGCTGGAACCTCTGCACCATCGTCGGGGTGCTGCTGGGCTACCCGGCAGCGTACACCTTCGCCATGGAGGAGGGTGCCCAGAACTGCCTGGCGCTGACGCCGCTGAGGGTGTTCACGGCCCAGGCCTCCTGCCCCAGGATAAGGGACGGTCTCGGGGTCCAGATCTATTCCTTCAGCATCCCGGAGAGCCTCTGCGCGGAGCTGAAGGAGGTGCTGGACGCCTGGTGTGATGAGCTGAAGGAGGCCTTCGGCGCTCAGAGTGACTTTGTAGATCTCCGCATTTCGAGCGAGGTGGTGTCTCTTCCAGCAGTTGCCTTGTAAAACACAAACTCAGACTTTTTGGCCGATTTCTTACTTGCATCAGCGACTGAGGCAAGAGATCTGGTTCCCGTATGTGGGGCCCACTGAGGCGCTCTCCAGAGGTCCCTGAGGAACAAATGCTGAAGTTTGAGATCTCAGGCCTCGGACCTTATAGACCAGTTGCAAACAAAGCCCGTGTGCTTCCCAGGAGACCAGTGTGTGGATGTACGCGCTCACAGCTGCTCCGCAGCCTCCATCCACACTGCGGAGCATGCCCGTAAAGGGCAGTGTATCAATAGTGGATTAAAAATATTACAGAACTGAATAGGGTTTATTTATTTGCTGTGAGGATTAATAAAAACTTTGATCACCACACTATTTTGAATTTGTGAAGTGTACTGTACGCTCCATATCGTATTTACTACTCACGCCACGTGGTGTCATGCACTGCCTCGTATCTGAGACTGTGATTGAATGAGGGCAAAAGCTACTGTAACCCCCACACGGTGCAGCTGCAAAAGGGACTTAAAACCCCTGTCTCTGTGGAATGAATGTGGTGCTGGCAGTGAAAGGGAAGGTGACGTGACTGTGGGGACGCTTGGCCATGAGACAGGCTAGAAGAGCCGTGAGCTGAACTGGGCCTGGAGGTGGGAAAGTTGCTCCGGACAGCCAGTGCATGGAGGGAGAACGAGGGGACTGTGCTAAAAAGCCTCCCCGAGCTGGTTTTCTTTGTTAGGTAGAGGTGGTCAGGATTGAATACCTCCTACTTAGTGAGGCAATAAATAAAGGAAGAGAATTTTGTAGTCCTTTCAGCTGCCAGGCATGAAAACCAGGGAGCTGGATCCCAAGGGCACAGGATGCCCCATCCTGCTGCTCTGTCCATCCTGCCCAGGCAGCAGTGGTTGGAGTGGCTTTATCCCTCAGTGCAGCTGGGGGTGGGCAGCACAACCTTCAGCTGAGGCAGAATAACCGAAGCAGCCAAGGGGAAGGAGTGATCTCCCAGCATTTATTGGAGCTGCAGGAGTTTGGAGTGAGACCAGCTCAGGAGACGCACCAGAAGGCAAGTACAAAATGGCAGACAGTGCAGTGTGGTGAGCGAGCTTTGCTGTTGGTGAAGCAGGAGTGGGTTCCTGCGGTGAAGTCAGTCATTGGGAAGGTCCTTCATGGTCTGTAGCTTGCGAGGAAGGTGGCTATGGCCATCGCTGTCACTGCCACCAGGAGAGGGATCCAGTGGCCGCGCCGTCTCTGCAAGAAGCAAGTGTTAATAAGAAATTGGTGGGGAGAATACTTTTCTCAGCTCATTCCTAGGAAACATCATTCATCTTTCTGCACCGCACAAATAAACGGGGGGATTTTTCCCAGACGGACGTGCAGCCTCGGCACCGGGAGCGGGGTGAGGAACGCCTCCCACCTGCGCCTGCTTGCTCTGGAAGCGGTTGAGCTCATCCCGGCACTGGCGCAGCCTGGTCAGGCAGGAGCGATACTCCTCGCTCAGGGCCTCCAGCTCGGAGCGCAGGTCCCTGCACTGCAAGCACAGCAAGGGGCCGTTAGCCGGGGGGGTCCCCTCGCTTCCGTACGCACCGAGGGCGGCAGGGCGCCCGCAGCCGCTGCAGCGCTTCGCCCGCGCGCGGGCACTGCCGTGACCGGGGGGTTTCGCTTCTGCTCCCTCTGCCTCCGTATGTACCTACAGGGGACAGAGCGGGGCTTGGTGTTACTGGGAACGTCGTCACAGAGGTGATGCCTGGGCTCTTACCATCCCATGACCCTCTGCCATCTTTCACATCACATGGAAGGAAAAAGCAAGCTATTTTTATGACCGCAGGTGTGCACAGATCAGGGAGACTTGAGAGTGCAAACTTGCGGCAGGTTTTTCCTCTCATTGTGAAATTCGGTGCTTCACTGAGTGCAGGAGCAGAGTCCTTTAAACCCCCTGAACATGGAATGCACAGGACAAGTACCTTGATTGTGCTGCACGACCCCAAAACCCAGGGAGCCCCTTTTCCTCTTGAACAGCCACACGGCGTGAGGCCCTGCTGCCTTCCCAGTAAGCAGCAGCTGTGGAAGGGGCTCCAGTGCCAGGAGGCTGCAAGAGCCACTGTGGGGGCAGCTGGGCTCCCCCAGCTGTTCCCTTTTGCTGTGATTGTGCGTTGTAAGACCTTCCCAGGTGATGCTGGGTGATGCCTGGTGCTATGCTCAGCAGTGTGGGTTAGTAGGACAAGCTCTTCTCCTGTGAGGTTTGAAGCTTTGCTACAGTTAAGTTCTAAATCTGTTTTTATAAATCCTTGCTGAGTACTGCTTTAAGAACTGTGGGGCTGTTGGTTGGTAGAGAGCGTTGATAGGAAACGGTGTGTAAGAGGCTGGAAAGCTTTGAATGTTTTTTGAAGCCCAGTTGTAAGGGCATTGCTTTTGTTAACAGCCCCCTCCTGTTATTTGTAGGCCTTTCCTTTTCCTCCTCTCCTTCCTTGTGCTATTAAAGTGTGGCTTTGGCTTTTCCCTCTGAGGGTGCTGAGGGTCTCCCGTCCTGAGAGCAGCAATGGGTTTGCACGGACCGGGCTCTGCTGGTACAGGCCTGGGCGCTGGGCTGCTGGTGCCTTGCCCCTGCACGCAGATGCTGCATCAGGGTCTTAGGGGGGGCTGCTGTCAGGGTGAAAATTCAGCAGAGATAATCCTTACAGGAGATACCAAGCTTAGGTTACTTCCAGGAGCTTTGGGGTGTTGTGTTGTGCTGCTGCTGCTGGAGCACTTAACACCAGCAGCTCGCTCCCCAGCAGGGAACTGAGTCCCAGCCATGATTCGATGACTTCCTCACCTCGTTCTCCTTTGCTGTAAGCTGGGATGTCCTTTTCTGTATCTCATCCTTCAGACTTTCTTCTCCCTCCTCCTCCTCAGGGCGCTCTAACAGAGCGTTTTGTTTTTCCTTGGCAGGAGTGAGAGGTGGAGTCTGCATGGTGAAAACCTGGTCTAGAAAACAGTCAGGCTTCTGATGAGAAACAGGTCCAGGCTTTCAGTTTGCTTTAGATCTTATTTACTCAGCACAGTTTAAAGATAATATTTGTGTGCTACATGCACAGCAGAAGACACAGGAGCTGTTACCACAGGCCTGCCTCTGCTGTAGCTACATGGTAATAATCTTTAGAGGAATATGTGTAAGTAGTTGCCAAAAATTGAGGGAAGAAAGAGTTAAAATGTCTTTTATTACTTCTTTTCAAGTACAGCTGTAATTGCTATTATAAACTGGAATGTAGTTTGTTTGGAAAAAAATGGCATAGCCACCGGAGTAGAATTTGTAATGAAAGTTATTTATTTTTTCAAGTGTTTGCCATCATGAATACACTTAGGTTTTAATGTTAACTAGCAAAATATAATACCTTGCTTTGTGCAGCTTTAAAACAATCATTTATTCTAAACCAATGTAGACTTCTCCTAGAGTCAGGTCTAATATTCCTGTGTCCAGTGAGAGGAGTGCTAGGTGGGAGTTAAAGTGTGCTGACCTTTCCTTTGCACTGTCACCTCCTGAGTCTTCTGTTCGTTGGTCTGGCTCTGTATCAGGTCTGTGAACATAAAAAGCCACTGTGATTGTCCACAGCACAATGCAGGTCTCTTACTTTGCATGCCTTTGCATTACTTACTGTGCAAATGGCTGATTGTTGCCTCCAGTGTTGCCTTCTGATTTTGTTCTTTTTGCAGTTCATCTGAAATAATGGTAGAAGAAGATGAAGTTTGGTGTAGATCTCTGGGTGTCTTTATGCAAGGATGGCAACTTTCCCTTTCTTCACGGTGTAAAGTGGAGTGGATATTGTTGGCTACAGTGAACTTCTTAGGAGGGATGTGATTTTTAGCTGCTAATTGCCCTTTCAGTTTTGGCAGACTTTTCTAGTGTGCCTCACATTCTATTAATTTATAGCTTATTTTAAAGTTGTTTGTGTGAGACCTGTTATGAAAACAGAACTGCCACCTGTTTACTTTTCCTTAATTGTGTTTTAAAATAGCCGTGTGAAGTATGTGTGAGCTTCTTTGCCTCTGTCAGAATTGGTACTTTAAGACACTATTGGGATGTATTTATAGGCTGGTAATACCTGCCACCACGCAGCAGCACCTCAGCCAGTAACAGGCACTGCCTCACCGCTCCAGTGGGCTGGCGTTGCTGCGTGCGATGGGTCTGAGAAGGACACACAAGTCCTCGTCAAAGCTGAGGACTCATCTGATTATTTTTAATTTTTTTTCAGGTCTTCCATCCTTTCTTTTACAGAAGTCACTTGACTTCTCTGAATTCCTTTAGTCTAGTTGGAAACAACTTTAGGAGCCCTTTGGAAACCAGAAGCTTTCATGACAAGCTGTGTGCAGCACAGAGAGAGCGAGCCTTTTGCGTATGCGTACTTGGCTTTTTAAGGACCAGGATTTTAAGAGTATTTCCCATATATCCTCTGTTTGGGTGGAGAACAGACACACCCCCCCCTGTTTCCCTACCCACGATACCTTTGATGGCATCAATGTGCTCAGCCTTCAGGTCGTTGTCCTCCCGCAAAGTGCTGGCTCGCAGGTGCAGGGCGGCGTGCTCGCTCTGCAGGCTGCCCAGGGCCCGCCGGAGCTGCTCGTTCTGGGCGTCCGCTCGCTGGGGGCAAGAAGGGTCCCACCATCAGCCTGGCACCGGCACCATGCCCCGAGCACGCGGCATCGGCGCCTTTCTGGGAACGAAGGGCAGCCGCGAGCTGAGCACTGGGTTGTGCGTGTGGTCACCGTGCTTCGTCAGAAGGTTGTTTGTTGTTTTTTTTTTTTTAAATATAGTGATCTCAGCTTGGGGACTTCCCTGCTCGCAAATCGGAAAACGTGGGCTCCCGTGGGGAGCTGACATACCTGCAGTTGGCTTTGCACAGCGTGGAGGCTGTTCTCCAGCTCGGTGTGCGCTGCGGTCATCTTGGTCAGTTCGGCTTTGAGCGTGGTGTAGTGCTCTTTCCAGAAGGCAAGGTCCTCTCTTGTTGCTGCCAGGTTTCTCTGGGGAGGAGAGCAAGGGCCCGGGGGTGGGATGGCACCCACGGCCCAGAGGGGCCAGGCCGGGCTGCCCCGACCAGCATCTGCAGGCGCTGGCGTGAGCTGGGCTGGGGCAGCGCTGCCGCCTCCCGCGCCATCGGTACAACCGGCGTGGGGCTGGTGCCATCTATGGACAGAGGGCCGGTGTGGAACCCCGCTGCGGGAGGATTTAGACAGCTGGTAATCTTGGGGATAAAATGTATTTGTTGTTCTGAAAATACCACTTAGCGATCTGGTTTGACCCACAGGATACCTCTTGAGGAAAAATCCATTTTCATATTAAAAAAGCCATTTCGGAAAAGGCTTCTCTAGAGACCTTGTGCCCTGGATGTGTGTGTGCATGGCTTGTTTTCTCCATGTGTGCAGAGCAGAAGGGATTACGCTTAAAACTCCCAAACAGCAGCGTATTTCCCCAACTCTGTGCTGTTTGTAATAACCTGATGTGTGGCTCACAAAATGGGCACAGGTTGCTGCCGAGCTGCTTTGGACTCCGCTCAGTAGCTAAACAATGATTTATTATTTTTACTAATGGTAAGCTAGTCATTGTCTTTCCCTGAAATGTGGAGGCTCTTTGTCACAGTAGGACTGGATTAAAGCCAAGCCAGGTGTAAAACATGTTGCTTACCTGAGAGTTTTGCAGCTGCTGCTCTGTTTGGAGTTTGTCCTCCAGCATCTTCTGAAGAGCCTCTTTTGCCTTCTGTTCATAGGTCTGCTTCTGGTCCTCCATCTCTATAAGGACCTTCTTCACACACTCCTTTGAGTAACTCTTTAAAGAAAGAATTGAAGTGCTTGAAGGGTCTTACCTGATACATTCCTGATCTTGCTGAACTGGAGTATTAGCAAATCCAGAGTCTGTAAATGCTGCTGGTAATTTGCTGTGAAACATTGCCTCAGAAAAGAGGAAAAATAATTTTCAGATCCATATCTAATCAGATTGCTTTAGAAACTGAGACCTGGCCTAATTATATGGTTCAGTATTTTGTTTTCATGCCTTTTTTCACCCGTATGTGTTTCTCAGTGAATCAGACGTTACCTGCGTGCAGGCCTGCAGCTGATTTTCAAGCGCCCTTAGTTTACACTTCAGTTTATCTTCATTCAGCTGACCCTGGGGGGGAAAAAAAAAACATTTGAACTGATGTGTGGAATCATGAACTATACAGTATGCCTCCAATGTTTTGTTAGCTCGTGTTTTAATTCACTTTCTCCCTTTTCTTTGTCTATAATACTGTGGCTAAATTTGGTCAAAGCCTCTTCAGTGCTTAGAGTCCAAGTAAGCCTTCGTGATCTCAGAATAAATGGGATACGGGGGAAGGAAAACTTCTGTGCATTGAAAAACTGTCCCACGGCAGTTGTGCTGGTTACTGAGCGCGGGTACTTGCAGTGAGATGAGGAGCTGAGTGAGAGGATTTCAGGTTAGCCTGGCTGGGTCTGGCAGCTGCCTGTGCCCTGCCTGCTGGTTCCTCCCTGCAGCGCTCCTTGCCTCCGGCTCCGGCTGGGGCTGAGGTCTTGTCTTGCTGGTTCCCTTAGGAAATAGGTTGGGGCCACGTTGCAACATCTAGCAGTTGTGCAGGGGGATAGAGGACAACAGGGATGATTCATTTTCCTTATTATAATCTCCTCTCAGTGTTAGTCAGGCTTCTTAGGTTTTGTGAAACCAGACTGCATGCAAATTCAGATAAAATTTCTAGCAAAGAGTTCACGTAGGCTGTTTTTCCACCACCGATACTGAGAATGCTGGTATCCTCTCTGCTTGCTGCTGTTTGAAGTCAACCTTCTGAAAAGCAACTCCTTGATGTTACAGCAATAGCTGTTAGACCCAAGCAAAACCAGATTCTCTGGTGCCTTTAGCACTGTTTAAATTTGCACAGAAGTAAGTTTACAGTCCCGAAGACTAATCTTCCCAGTTCAATTGTTGGTACAAGGAACTAAAGAGTCTCTCTTAGAAAGTAGGTGGAATTCTGAAAAGTGTTCTTATAGATGAAATATTATGCCTAGTTGTCCTCTGCAGTTTATTTTATTCTGCTCTCTGCGAAGGTTCATGCTGAGGGTGGTGGTAGTGTTACGGCTGTTGTGCACAGATGTAAATGTGCAAAGTACAAGGCGACGGAGCACAGGGTCCTTCCTACGCTTCAGAGCAGAAATGTGCTGGCAAACTCCTTTCATGGAGATGCAGTTTATAAATTGGCAGAAGCACGCAGAGTATAAGGATTTCCCTAAATGGAATAAGCTGTCTGTTAGGGCTGTTACCAGCACAGTGTGGCAGTGAGGGGTGAATGCGTGCACGTACGTGGGAGGACATAAGAAATTCTGCTTCTGACCAGAAACATTATGTGAGCAAATGTTGGTCAAGCCCTTGTGTTGAAGGAGGCCCTTATGTACGTGAAAGGGGCTGCCTTGAAAAACAAACAAACAAAAACCTCACTCACAACTGAACAGAACAGCAAAAACCCTGATAGCCACCATCATTGGATGGTGGTTTTTCCTCTTGTGCAGCGACGCCAGCGACAGGGTTTGAGCAGCCCCTGAGGATCCTTCCACTGCGCCTTGCTGGGAGCTGGACGGAGGAACGGATTGGGGCTAATGTTCAAAATATCCCAGTTCTTGTAAATACCGGGTTTGAATCCTCTGTAGCCCCCTTCGGAGAGTCTGAGGTTACCAGAATGGGCAGCTTCAAAGCCTCGCGAACCCTTTGCGTTTCTCTGCCGCTGTCATCTAAGCGCCATATAGGTATTTTAAACTGGTTTTGGTTGTCCCGTGATCGGTGAATTATCTGATACTCCCCTTAGTCATTGTCATAGCAATAATAAATTCTGTTTCTGGAATACCTCTAGTTTGTCCAAACGTGATGCTTGCACTAGAAAAATAAGTCCATATAGTAGTAGTAATGCACTGGAAGTGACAAAGCTTAAGCTTTGCAGAGCTGCAGGGGGCTTCCAAAAGTCAAGCTCAACTTCAGAGGTCAGGAAGGGAAGAAAATATATCAAAGTAGCAATTTTCTTCTTTAAGAAGAGAACAGCTTTAATATAATTACTCGTAATAATCATAACAAACATTTAGCTTCCTTCATCTGGCAGCATCTTTGGATTGACTAAGCAAGTTTTACAACAGATGGGGGATTTAAGGTACAGACCTACGGTAAGAAGGTCTCTCTAATCTAGAAGTAAAATCGTGGGAGGGGGAAGGAACCAAATGCTTTATCCCTTCAGTTTAGTGACACCCCCATCCTCCTGCCGAGTATTCACTTGCTCCATCAAGCCAGAAGCTCCCACGCACAGCACCTCAAAAATGACTCTGTGGCCGTTCCAAGAGTTACTGCCATATTGTTCCGTGTATGCAATAGCATTTCTTTGAAACCTGAATTATTAGAAAGGATTAAAAGAAGCTGCTGCAACAAGAATTTGGCATCTCACCTGGGCCTGGAAACGGGCAACCAACCATCAGTTTCCACAGCACAGCGTTACGGTGTCGGACCTGTCCAGACCTCCCGGAGAAGCCCCCTGCCCCCAGCCCGGCGCCCTCCACGCAGGCAGCATCTGCCTCGTCTGCCCCGTGGGCTCCAGCGACATTAATTTTTAGTCTGATGAAAGGCTGAATGCAAGAGGCAGCAGCAAAGTCTCTCTTCTGTAGCAGAGATAGCAAGAAGCAAAGTGCACCCACCTGTTTCTAATCTGAGGTTTCATGGCTACTTCCTGCAGAGTGTGCCAGGGTGTTTTTTCCTGCTCATATTATTTGAAGAAGCAAGCGAAGGCGGAAGTTTCTAACCACAGAACATCTAACACAAGTTTGGGGTTTTTTTTTTATACCAACTCACCCAATCACTCGCTTTTCTGCCCCAGCAGAACTTTCAAACCACTTTTTTAATGGTACAACGAACTGTAAGTTAGTATTCAATTTATTAATCCTATATGAAACTTGTCACATCTTGCATAAAATGCATCACTTTTTTTTTTTTTCTTTTTTTTTTTTTTTAATACCTTCTGATAGCAAAAAGCATGGGCCCTGGTTCAAGTGCTGCCCAGAGGATTTTGTTTGAGCTGTGGGAAAATATTTTGATGCAGGGTCATGATTCAGCAGAGCACCTCAGGCTGCGCATCGTGCGTCCCCTGCCCTGTGTCTGCCTGGGAGCCCGGCGGAAAGGCTGCGGGTGCTGGGCGGGGGTTTTTAGCTGTTCCCAGATCAAGACACAGTCTGTCTTTTCCCCTATCCAGTGCACCGGTTTGGTGTGTCTAAAATTTGTTTTTTTGGCCAAAAAGGAAAAATTTCTTTAAAATATTTGAAACTTGTTTGGACAAGAAAAAAAACAAAAAACTTGGTGGAAGACGGTTATTTGGGCTTATTGCAATTATTTTTCCCCACTTCTATTTGTTTTTTATTTAAGCAAAAGTGGAAAGGCAAGCTTAGAAAAACCCTGAAAACCTTACAGAAGAAAAGGGTTTTATGCTTCCTGTTGATTTGAAAGGAAAGTACGTTTTGTAACAATCTTGGGGGGCGCAAAAGGGAAAAACTTCAAGCAGAGTGACCCCTGAACCTCTGTGTTTGTGTTCAACGCTCCCTAAAAAAGACAAGTGACAGTGAGGAAGGAGGCAGGGCGGGCAGCAGCTTGCAGGTGAGTGGTTCCACGCGATGTCCTGTCTGCTAGGAGACAGCCCTGCACCTTAAACCAAAACATTTCCGTGCCTGTACCACGCCGCAGCCAGGCAGAGCGGAGCCCAACTCCGAGAAAAAAGGGGAGACCTGAGGGGTGCTCTTGTTCCGCACACAAGCCCTGTCCCGCCGAGGCAAAGCCTCCCCCTGACCTCCCCCAGGAATCGCCTCCTGCAGCTCTCTGGTACCTGCCAGGATTTTTCTGATGCTTGCAGCAGCGTGGAGAAAAGCTCCTGCAAAATCACCATCTTCTGCTTGAGCAGCAGCTCGCGGTGCAGGGCCTCCTGCAGGGAAGGGGAGAGCTGGTCAGCAGGACCCCCCCGAACTGGTGGGGATAGCCTGGCTCCCCCCGCCAGCTCAGCGCTTCAGCCGCTCGGGGGGATTCAGACAGGTCTTTGGGTTCAGTGGCTTATCCATGGGCCTTATTGGCCACATTAAAATTGGGCATGTAACACCCCTTCATTTAATAATAGTCATAATTTTAAAAGTGTTGTTGTACTTCCCAAAGACCTGCTTTCCCAGTGGGCACTTAACGCTATTCGGTACCTACCTTCAGGTAGTTGGACAGCTGCACCATTTCCTGAAAGGGAAAGGACAAATGTTTAAAAAAATTAGGATTGTTTCAGTTTATAAACATTTTATGAACTGTCTCCAAAATTCCAAATATTTTGAAATAAAACTGAAGTTAACAGCCTATATCTGGGTGGAGGAGGAGAGTCTGCTGGGGCTTGGTTGTTTTTCCCAGGGAAGTGAAAACATTTTCTGCAGGATTGGAGCTATGGCATCTTTGCCATGTAGTGTATCACATCAGGGCGGTTACTGAATGAGACCGGTGGACATGCGTGGGACAGAAATCCCTTCTCCTATAGCAGCAGTGTCATCATTTTTGACATCACAGAAATCTAGCACTGGTCAGTGTCCTGGTCAGAAATTTTAGGAACTGAGTTAATCTGCAGGAGTTCAAGACTAGTTATTATCCGTATTTTGCTTACCTTGTTTAAAACTGCTATTCCGCAACTAAAAATAAAAAGGAAAGTGCGTTACTGAGGTGAGTGCGATGGGGGGGTCTGCAGCCGTCTGCTCCCCCCAGCCCAAGCAGAGTTGTGGGTGTTTGCACAGCGGAAGCTTGTGCCGAGGTGAAACGTGTTTGGGCATCGGAGGCTCCTGCACTGTGGCTATTGGAATTCACAGCCCAGGGAGGGAGGGGAGGGCCGGCTTACTCTGTCTGCTGGCTTGAGTCTTTAGCTCCTGCACTGGGATTTGCGAGGGTCTGGGTTCCTGTGAAAGCAAAGCGAAAGGATGTGAATGATCCCCCCGATCCAAGGGGCTGTGAAATTCTGTTTGGGTGTCAGATGGCTTTGTTCCAGGATGGAGAGCAGTTGTTCAAGTGACATGACGCAGTAGGGACAAGAGGCAAAGGAGAGTCCTGCGCAGGTGGGCACAGTGGCTGAAGCTAATCCTCCGGCCTGAAGTTGGCCCCCAGCCCCGTGGGTAACCCGGGGCACTGGCAGGGAAGCCGTGGGGCAGAGCATCTGGTGGTTAAGCTGTGGACTGGGCTGGTTTATCCCTCCACGGGGAAAATATCCTTAACGCCTCCACTCTGCAGGGGAAACTCAGCCTGGGATAGTAAAACTTCACACAGGTGTGGGGGAGCTTGAGTTAGAGGGGAGCTGTCAGCTTGTGTCCCGGAGACTCGATGGAGGCTTGGAGGTGGGAGGGAAGCGCCACGGCTGCTGTTGTGCTGGGAGACCCGAGCATCCCTCGCCTACCTTGGGTGTTCACTGAGGCACCCCGCCGGGGCATGGCTTCTGCTGAAATGTCGAGGGGGATGCTGAGACGGGAGTGTGCGCGGGGAAACGTGGGGCAGCTCCACGGGTGCTGGAACGAGAGGGCAGCTCGAGTCAGCAGCTTGCCAAGATGGGCTGTGAGGAGTGGAGGGGAAGGGGCTGTGGCTGGGTCAGGTGTTGTACCTGCGGTGACTGGGTGAGGAGCATCAGGGAGATGCCAAGAGCCCGTGGCAGATCCATGAGGATCCGCTGCTTTGACTGCAGCAGCTCCAGAGCTCCGTGGGGAGGTGGGAGAAAACCTTCAGGCTTCTGGGGGTAGGGGTGAGGGGAAACGTGGCACACACACACTAGAACAGGACAGAGAACCCCCCCGAAGTGTCTTGAGATCTTTTTGGAAAAGATGGAGGACTTCTGGTGGCAGGGAGCGGGGTCCTGACCTGGGTCTCTGCTACCATTTGGCTGCCTTGGAGCAGGGGTACCTGTTCTGCACTGGCTTCCCCCTGGGGCTGGGGGAGCAGACTGCTCACCCCATTTCCTCCCCCCAGCCTCCTGCCCCTTGTTACTGCTGCAAAAGCAAACAGGGGAAGGCACTGCATGGGCTCCGTGCATGTAAATGCTTGTTCCAGATTCCTGCTGTCTAGCAGGCGATTAAACCTGGGGAGCCAAATGGCAGCAGGAGCAGGTAATCGCTCTGCACGCTCCTGCGCCGCAAAGGGAGCTTGAGGCCGTGTCGGGCGGAGTCGTCTCGTGTGCGGCTGCCTCTGCTCTCGGGGGTTAGTGAAGCCCCTGGGATGAACCCACGACATACCAGGGGAATTGTTCGTTTTGCAGGGGGTATAAGTTTGGAAGGAAGTCTGTCTGGCTCTGGGGTTGGGGCGTTTTGCATCGTGTCTCTCCACAGAGGGGTATTCAAGGCAGCGAGCCCCCGGGTGATGCTGGCTGTGCAGCACCGGGTGGGTAACGAGTACCAGGGAGCCTCCGAATCCCGGCACCCTTCCTGCTAACCGCGCAGGGGATGGAGGCAAGGCGGGTGTTCAGAGCACCGTTTTCAAGGGTTAAAAATAATTTGTGCAAATGCAAAACTGTAATCTGGCAGCTAGGGTGGGGAGTTGTACTTGGAGGAATGGCAGAAAAATATCTATCTGGGTCAGGGTTTGGAAAATCCAGAGGAGCACTCTGGGGGGGGGAAAGTGAGAGCATTTACCCATGCCCAGCTCTGCAGTTCATAGGGAAATGCACGTTTTTCTGTGCATTCCCACCTTTTGGCTGTACTTTGGCTTGGATCCGGATGCTGTTGTGATGGGTGGACAGGCCGTGGGTGCTTTTGTGGGCACCTAGCTGGAGCGGGCAGAGCGCTGAGCTGCGCTTTAGGGACAGGCGTTACCTGGAGCAGGACGGGCGGCCTCTGATACACCCGTGAGGAGCGATCCGGGGGGGCGCGTGCTTCGGGCTCCGGTCCCAGCACTGTCCTTCCAGCATCACTTGCCAAGTTTCTCCTTCTCAGGAACTCCCTTTGCCGGGGGCTCTGTGACGGCTCCTCCACTCCCCTCCCGAGGTGGCGGCAGGTCGTCGCGTTGTTTCGCCGCCGCAGGTTCTCCCGCGTCTCGTGCCGCCGCTCGCACTTCTCATCGTAGCTCTCGTTGGCGCGCCTGGGCCGCGGCCGTGCCCTCTCGGGCTGGCTGATCATGCTGGGCACAGCTCTGCCCGGCTGCAACTGCCCCGGCTGCTCTGGGGTCCTCTGTCCTGATGAAACGGAGGGAAGAGACATGATCTGAGTTAAAACTCATTATTTCTGAGATTAAATGAATGTGAGGCTTCAGATGCTGGTTCTGGAGTCCTCACACAATGGATGCAAGTGGAGCTCCTGGAGAAATGTGTTGCCCATGAACTCGTGTGTGTTGGCTGCGTAAAACACCACACTGTTCGTGCTCCTCTGTCGGGTGGGTGCTGACCCAGGGGACGCCAGGAACAGAATTTCGAACGGTTAATGCAAACTCGTGAACTTGGCCTCGCTACCAAGTAATGATGCTTCCACTGCTTCCTCTGGGAGAATTCCTTTCCTGATAAAATAAAATCCCTCTGCTACAGCTCTTTAGCCAACCTAAAGAAAACAAAGGCAACACAGGAAGAGTGGTAACTGCTTTTTCTGCAGTAAACTTTTGAAGGGTGCATTTCTTTTGCATTTTTTTTTTTTGATAGGTCCAAATAGAGCGATGCTGTGGTGTGACTTACTCTTCAAGCAGTGGCATTCTGTTTCTTAGGGGTGGTTGGCTGTTCTGTGTGCACAGAGAGATCTGGAGCGGTGGAAACCAGGGGTTGGGCTTTTATTTTTGGTTCTGTTGGGGTTTTTTTTATTTCCCAGTGGACTATCTAGCTAAGTCCCTCCAGGTCTGAGCACAGCCGCGCTCTGAAGATCACAGCTACGGAGTGCTGCTTTTTCTTACCTCCTGGTTGCTTCCTCCCTCCCCAGCTCTTGGTTCGGGTGCTGTGTAACACACCACTTGTTCACCTTCACTTGTCCCGCAGCCTCGCTGGCTGCAGCCCTGCGTCTGTGTTAGCCAAGCTGGGACTTGGTTCCTTCATTGCAAATACAAGTGGAGTGACCGATGGTTACACTTTGGGATTAATTCATTGTTAAGCTGTGCTCAAGAACTGGGGGCTCTCAGTGGTACCAGTTTGCCTCAGGCACAAATTCTGTCTCTGTTTCTGGGGTCTTTGTGGCCTAAAACAAGGCAGTGGCTTGACCAGAGGAAGAGCTCCTCCATTTCAGCACTATTGCACCGTCTGCAACCGCATGCGGGGCGTAGATATGAAACCTCCTCCCTCCTGCTGACTCCTCTGAACAGTTGCAAGCCACTAGTGTATTGGTTTTATACTGGACTTCGGTCGTATCGAGTGTATTTGGGCCTTTGCCTCTGCATCGCTTGGAGGAAGCTGAGATGTAACTACCCCCGACCCTCTTCCTTCCTCCCCTTGAGCAAAAGCTGTGTCACCCGCTCCTGTCCCCTCGCCCCATTGGCAGTGAAGAGGTTTGTCCTCCCTGTGCACATCTCCTGGATGTTGCTCGGAGGGTTCCCGGCCCTGGGGGCTCAGTGGGGGGCTGCTGTGGCTGGGTCTGGTGTGGGGCTGTTCTCATATTTAGTAAATCATGTTAATGTAGGAAGGAGGGGGGGGGGGAAGGACTTTTAGTCTCTGAAAATTCAGATTAAATGTTCTTCAGTGTCAAACCACCAAAACTTCATTGGTCTCATTCTGTCCCAAGCAATTAGGAAGTTGTTGAGTCAAATGGGATAAAAAATGGGAACAAGTAAACCCCACTTAGATCTAGAATACTTCCGTGCTTTTCAGTCTGTGTTAAAATCTGCCCCATCATTCTTTTTTGCTGTCCTGGTGCTAGCTGTGGTGTACTCAAAGCTCATTCCCAGTGTTGTGTTTTCACTGTAGGGGCTCCCCTTGGAGGAAGGGTGGTGCTTTTGGGGCAGTCAGCTCTTGCTCCGGGCAGGGAAGGTGCCAGCAAACCCACAGCCTGGACACTGCTCCCAGTGCTGACCCGCGTGGGATGTGGACTTAGACCCCCCTGAGTATGGCACTTGCTTATGTGCTTTTATTAATTTTTATTTGAATATTCTCAGGAATGCTTCAGAAGCCATTCAAATTTTAGCTTAAATTTATTGAAGGATCCCAAACGTATTTCCCTGTTGACATGTTTCTTATCATGATACGCTTACAGCTGGAGGAGTCTGGGGGTCTAAAAGTCTGAGGGGGTTATTCCCATGCAGCTTTTGCCTCTGTCCCATACCAACCGCCCCGTGCCCACGCAGGGCCTTGCCGCTTGGTGCACACATGCTTTCCTTGGCCCAGCGAGGTCTGGCCAACAGCTTCACGCAGAGAAATGGGAGTTGGGGATACACCACACACACAACGTGCTCCCTTGAAGCTGGGCACGATCCCCATAGGTTGGAACAAAGTGTGTATCTGTAGCCAAACTGCTCCCGACTCTTCAGGACACTATAAAAACATTTTTCAACTACTTTTTCTAAAATTCAGAAAGGGCCCAATTGCACATTCAGTCTGGACCTCAGGTGTCCTGCATGGTCTCAGCTCATGTAGCTCTTCCCGTCAGGAACAGCTCAGCCCCTCTCCCACCTGCGCTGCCTCTGGGCTGCCCAGCCTGTCGCCAGGCATCCCCAGAGCTCTTGTAACAGCCTCACTTAACAAAAAATGCATTTTAAAGCCAGGTAAAACTTAGTGAAATACAGTCCATTACTCACCCTGAGCTGAGCAAACTGTTGAGGCCTTCTTGACAAGCTAATACTTTATTTCCTCCTTCTGTTACCCCAAATTATCCTCTGATTAACAAACATGTCCTTTATCTTTGCTTTCCAAGCTGTTATGCTTCTCGCTTCAAGGGAAGCAAACAAAAAAAAAACCAACAAACCACCAAACAGAAAGTGCTTCTTGTTGGTTCATGTTACAGCCTCCCAGTGTCAATCACGTAGGCTGAAAGCGGGGTGAAAAAAGAGGAAAAAAGGTGCACAGTGCCGCTGCTCGCACGGCAGCCTCTGCTCCCCTCCATCCCTTGCTGGTCCCGGTGCTGCGGGCACTTACCTGGCCCCAGGGGTCCCGTCCTACCCCTCGGCTGTCACAGAGGAGTGGGGTGAGCCAGGGGTTATCAGGCACGAACACGCTCCAACTGCCATCTTCGTGCCAACCACCTCATTTTGCTGCTCTCACTCTTTTTCTCACTCTGTAAAACAGGAAACGTTGCAGCGCAGCCGAGCCCCGGTTCCTGTCTGTGCTCGCAGCCCTGCTGCGGGGTGCAGGGGCCCAGCTCGTGGAAGGATTTGGGTTATCTTGGGACCCCAAAGTCTCTCCAACTTTTCTCTAAGCAGAGCTAGCGATTATCTTTTGAGCCATCTCCCTTTATCGGTCTCCAACACGTGGAGGTTTGAGCGCTGGTTCACGGCGCTGCTTGTGGCACTTGGTGACTGAGTCTCTCCGAGCTGCTTTGGGGTAGAGAAATCCAGACTTAGGGAAGTACAGTAATGCTATTATTTGAAGGCTTCTTGCAGATTGGAAAGGAAAAAAAGTGTGTATCGGCAGCTGAGGAGAGGTCACCCATGGCAGAAACTCATTAAGGTCTTTAGAGAAGTGAAAGCAGCGTTAATGCAAATCATGCAGGGAGGTCGGTTTAACCAGCTGGGTGCTGATAAGGGCTCTGGGCCCATGCACGTGGGAAAGGAACACAAGTAAGAGCAAAGATCTTGGAAAGTAACATAGGATTTATTTTTACAAAGATGAGTTTGGAAGGGATACATGACACAAAAATTTCCTGCTTCAAAGTCCCTCTCGTGCCTTTGGGTGGTTTGTGCTGCTTGGCCCAAATCCTCGTGCTGGGCCGAGGCTCAGCACCGCTGCCTTCGCGGCTTTTGGGGGGGGGGGCAGTTTCTGGAGGTTGAGCAGGAAAACCTGCTGGTGAGCAGGATGCTGGCAGCAGATCCTGCTGCGAGGAGCTCTCCTGAAGCACCTCTTGGTTGGAAAAAGCCAGTTGCAAGAGTTTCATGACTGAAAAGGACAATTTGATGCAGCGTGTTGCAGGCTTCTGGTGTGTGCTGTCTCAGGTTGCCAGGGTGCGTCAGCACGGGGCTGCCCTGGTGCCATGGAAAAGGGCACTCGAGTAGCTGGATTTAACACCCAAGTGCCTTGTGCTTGGCCCAAGGTGTCCCAGCGCATTTGCCACCCCGGGGGCTATGTTCTTCTGATGTTTTCCACTTCATAGTAGCTCCTGATGAAGGAGTCGAGTAAGTCGGGGGCTATGTACTGGAAGAGGAGCAGGCTGCCCACCATGGGTGGGTAGTGCAGCTCCCGCTGGCGCAGCGCCCCGCTCCTGATGATTTCCAGAGCACACTCCTCCTTGGGCGCTGGCGTGCGCCGGATGACATGGGACATGGCTCTCACAGCGTTTTCTGGGGAGACAGGAGGACAGGGAGGGAAGGAGCAGTGTCAGGTGGAGGGGCTGCCACAGATAGCACCACCTTTGGGGTGTCTGCAGCTTTCTCTAACTAACCGACAGGCTCTGGGAATCAGACCTACTTAACAAGGCTTGGAATAGTTAAAATGAGTGATATCCTTCCCATTCCTTTCCACCTCTTGAATGACCATAGGACAGAATCCCCACCTCCCCTGGGTTTACTGGAAGGCCAGTGGAGTCAGAGGTCCCAGGCCAGGCTTTTGAAAGAGTTGGGCTCCCAGGTGCGCAGCGGTGAAGCAGCGTGCTGAGCAGCCCAGGGCTGCAGGGAGGGTGGTGGGCTCGGCTTGGCTCTGTCTGGGAACACGGAGTCACGGGTCCCCGGCGATGCTGAGCTTACCTGTGTTGATGTAGCCCAGGATGCAGAGTGTGATGGAGACGTTGACATTGTCTATGATTAATTCATGTCGCAAGGAGCTGAAAAATCCGTCTAAGGCAAACTTAGTTGCAGAATAGGATGCGGCAAATGGGGAGCCAGTTTTACCTGGAGCAGAGACACAATGTCAGGGTTCGTGTGTTGGGCAGGCACAAGGCTGCGTGGCTCTCCCTTCTCTAGCCCTTCAAGTAGGTACAATATTGTGATTTAGGGTGACAGAATAAGCTGCCGCAAATGCTTAAGAGAAATAAACGAATGCAGGGATGTTTGAAATGTAACATATGGCGTACAACAGCACGAAGTACCTTCAGTTGTGGGTGATACTGTTGTATTCCCTCATATATAAAGCGAATGCATGTGTAACGTGTGGCCTGCACATAACCTGCAGTGGTGCGCCACCGACTGCCGTGCATGGAGGTGGCTGGTGGGATGGGACGCACAATATAAATCCCCCAGAGGACTTGAATTGTGCATCCAGGATATAAACATATGCCGATCCTGACTCCCGGTGGGGTGGCTCTCTGCCTTATGGTCCTTATGCTGTGTTTTGAAGAAGAGCCGCAGCAGGGAGCCCATGCAGGCAGAGGAAGGGATGTGGGCAGGGAGAGCCCGGCCCCTTGTATGCTCACCTGCCAGGGATGAAACGACAACAATGCTGCCCTCGCTCTCCTTCAGCATGGGCAGGGCAGACGCGGTCATCGCCACGTAGCTGAGGAAGTTGGTCTCCAGGAGCTTTCGTATGTGCTCAACGTCCCCGTTGAAGTAGTTGACGTAGCTGTAACCGATGTGATTTAGGATGAGCATATCGAGGCCTCCTGCAAGCAGAGCACGTTCACTGTTAGCAACCGGCGTCAAAAACCAAAGCAGCTTCTTGGTGGCTGGGGTGGCCCCAAAATGTAGCATGGGGTGTGTTGGGGAGCGAGGAGGGGCAGCTCCCCACTACCTACCCCAGGTGTTCTCAGCCTCCCTCACCACCACTGCAGGGAACGTGGTGTCTTCCATGGAGCCGCTCACGTAGCGGGCGGAGGCAGCACCCAGCTCCAGGCACCGCTTCACAACCTGCAGCAACAGCGAGAACAGTGTTGGTGTCCTGGGACTCCCCTCCCACAGACCCCCCCTTGTCCCACACAGGCTGGGGGTGGGTGGGCAGTGCATCTCCCTGTCCCACGGGAAACCCTCCTCCCTTCATGGGAGGAGAAGCCTTGCTTGGAGAAATGTTTCTGGCTGCGGAGTTAAACAATGGCACATCTGAGCCAAATATTTAGTATTTATCGATAGGGACATGATTGCATAACTTCGATTGTTGTATATGGGATGCAAAACCAGTTCAGACTTTGAGAAGGGGCAAGGGTTGATCAGACCAGGACTTGGGCAGACTAGTGTTGTCCCTGGTGGTGGAGATCAGCATTCACAGCTGAAGACTGTGGAGAAAGAAACGTTGCGCTGTCAGCATTGAAAATGCAATTGGTGGCGGTGGTGGGGAAGTGTGTGTGTGTTAGACCAGGCTGGTGCTGGGGAAATGCTGGGGTCATCTGTAGGGTGGCTGGCATCCCCGCCTGCCTGGTCCGGGGTGAATATCCACATGCTGTCTGTCTGTGGGCTTCTGGATTGCAAATGTGTTTTGCCAGCCCGGCACGCTCTGCTTGCCATTTACTTTCTGCAGCTTGGCCTCCGTCCGCGCCGTGAGCAGTAGGTGAGCCTCCATGCGTGCCAGGTGATACGCCATCTGCTCCCCGATGCCGCTGCTGGCTCCTGTCACGATCACCCGCTTCCCCCGGAGCATCTCTGGAGAGGAGGGCACAGAGCTCAGCGCGGGCAGAGACCCCACACACGGGCACTGCGGCTCCTCTCGGCCCCTGCCACCCCTTGACTCCCGGCATGGGGAGCTCCCCGCTCGCACAGACCCCGACTGGAGTCTGGCGTTAATCCCGGTTTGGTGGGGAGCACATGCGAGGTTTGAGCTCTGCGTCTGGTCTGGTCTGGGAGCAGCTTTTGGAAGTGGCAAGAATTGACTAATAAAAGGATTAAATGTTTAAAGTGGGAAACCGCATGTTTCCTAAATAATTCACTGAGCTCAGACGCTTACAGGGTGTCCCAGCAGGCCCCGTGTAATCCCAGTGTAATCCCGTGAGCATTCCTGGGCTCTGAGCCCTCGCACCGGGGCCTGCCTGCGCTCCCCTCCGAGCCCTCAGCCCTCCTGCGCTCCGGCTCTTCCCGCAGCGCTCTGACCCTTCCAAGGGCCTGTGGCTCCTCTGCGCAGGCACACGCTGCCGCTGGCCGCAGCCTTGCTGACTGTGCTTTTAAAGCGTGTTTTTATTTTAATTTTTTTTCCAATGACTTACCTTCGTTGAAATTCTCAGGTGCTGAATAAAAATAAAGAGCCAGCGCCAGTCCCAGCAAGGGGATGAAAATCTTCAGGAGCAGACCCATCCCTCTGCAAAAGCACAGGCAGAGTGTCAGGCTCCGCGGCTCTGACCGCGGGGAGGTGGACGTGTCAGTGGGTTGCAAACAGGGCTGGGAGCGATAGCAGTTTTGAACCGGTTCTTATCTTGTACACGTTTTCTGGTATCTGTTGGACCTTTTCTTTGCACTTCCTGTAATTTAGCAAACATTAACCTAACGGAGGGAGTTGCTTTGGACTTTAGGCTGTCCCTTTGCACCCTTGTCCTGCCTGGAATTTCAGGCGTGTTTGAGGGTGTTGAAGGGAAGGCGCTGAAGCCTTCCAGCTCTGTAGAGCAGTGGGGGGGTGTTTTGGTGGCTGGGACACCTGTGTCCCCTCAGGGCAGACCTCCATGGGATGGACATCCTTCTCTCTCTCCTTTCCACATCTCAAACTGGGGAGACACTTCCCTTCCCCGCTGGCTGCTGCAAGGGTTTACTGGTCAGCAGCATCGCTGTGGTACGGGCTCATGAACATCTAGAGAGCAGGGCTGGCAGAGTTTGCTTTTAGACCCTTATGAGTGCTTCTGGCTTACCCTATGTGATACCACCATTGGTCTAACACTGACAGTTTGCTGAGTGGCTCTTACACCTGAAAAAATGTGCTCTTGTCTTGAGGAATCCACTGGTGGCAAAAGGCAGCAAAACTGAGCGGACAAATGGTGAATATCTTCAGCTCTCGGAAGCGTTGTGTGTAGCACTGCTCAGCATCTGCCTGGGCATATGGTGAATGGATTTACAGATGATTTTCTGAAAGGTTTAAAGGGTAAAACTCCCTCTGTGGGCACTGGTTTGTGTAAGTGACCTCAGGATAAGGAGAACAGAAATGCCGGTCCCTGATTTCCTTTAGAAAGCGAAATGCAAACCCATCCCGGGGAGTGCCTCTGTGGGATGGGTTTAGGGAAGTTTTGCCTTGCTTAGTCTTGGGACAGGTACCACTTAGTGCCGGAACGGCCCGAACCGTGGCGGATGTCAGCGCATCGGCTCGGGGCCGGCGGCCGGGGCAGCTGCGCGGAGCTCCGAGCTCGCTGCGGGCTGGCGCCTGGGCTCTGCCTCCAGCTCCTGGGCCCTGAGCCGAGGCCCTCGGCGGCTCCTGGAGGCATTTCCCAGCTACAGTGGTTGTGTCGGAAACTGCCTACCGCAAAGCTTCGCTTGGGGCAAAAGCTTGCATTTAATTTGGCCAGCGAGCTAACAGGCCGGCAGAGAGTTATTCCTAAAACGAAATGATGATTAATGCAAGGATTTCTCTCTCCGGTGCGGGGCGGTGGGGTTGGGCCCCTTTAAGCTGCGTTTAGCGGTGGAGAAAGGGGCTCAAACACCCCCCCCACACCCCCCGGAACACACGAAGCTGCTCGGTGAGTAGATTTTATTTCGGGATTAGTTCGTTCCAAGGCCCCGGGAGCTCCCCGGAGGTCTGGGGCCGCCCCGCC